TATATATATATATATATATATATATATATATATCCAATTCATGTGCCGATTCTTTTTCGATTTTGAAACGCAATCATGGACAGAACTAAAGTAATAATATCACATTTGACAAGCAATTTAATAATTTTGATGTTAATAAGCATCTTAGGAGAATATTAATAATTTGTTAATCTAAACATCTTAAGAACTGTAAATAATTTAATTTTTTGCAAAAGTATATGAAAGTGCGAAAAAAATGACAACTTTACATTTATTACAGGAAACACTCCCATGGAGTGCCCAAGATTGGAGTGAGTCTTGACTGGTTTTGTTGTTCTGCTATTTGAATTCATGCAAAAACCTTCAGGCATAGGCATAGTTTTATTGCCAGTACACAAGATATTCATCAGTATAGCGAAAGCCTCATCTTTCGTGAGCAAAGGAGACAAGCCGGGACCTTCTGCAAATTCTTGTGGTGTCAAGCTCAAAAATCTTATCTTTAAGAGGGCATTTCCAATGACAGATTTCAGACATTTTTCATTGGTTGAATCGAGAGACTTTCTAGAGCATTCTGATTTAGCCCATCGCTCCATCGCAGTAAATAATTCTATCTCCGAGCTGATCTGCAAATCGTCCTGCTCCAAGACTTTGAGAAGGGTCCCTAGTTCTACATCTTCCCAGCTGGCTTCCTTCAACACTTGATCTGTCTTGGTGCGTATGATCTGTAGACATTTCTCCATTAGGACAGGTTCCTCAAAAAGCTTGGCAAACTCGTATGCTCTGCATGCTTTCTTCGGTGAGAGATCACACCACAGATATTTTGTACACTCTTCTACCAAAGATGGCAGCATGTATTTTTTGGCGCAGTAACATAACTCGCAAGCCAATTCGAAGGAACCAAGTTCAACTTTATCTGTATATATATATTCTAATAGAGCCTTGAATGCCTCAGGCTGAACATCCCTTATCGGTATCGGATCGTTTTTCTCTGCCATACCACCAAAAAACATAGCTTCGAAGACCGGACTGGACATGGCCAGGAACAGTTTATGACCCTTGAGAGTCTGTTGCTGGGGTTCCTGGCCGACAATGAAATTACAATCGGACCATTGTCCAGTTTCCAGCAGATGCTGGCCACGCTCCGACAGTTTCTGTTTGCTGGTCTGCCAGTCGCAGGGTAAACTCATTTTCACGATGTGTTACATGTACTCAAGCTGCAATGTGAAAGGAGAGTCACCAGAGAATGAATCAAAGGCTCATGTGCCAGGAAGCGGCCCGTGCGATGTTACGTACTCACCTATTTCCGTTAGCGCTATAAATACAGCGTACAATACTAACACGTAACAGCTAAATGGGAGAGTAACGTAGCGAGGTGCGCGGGAAAATCAGCCAGCCAGTTACTCTACCTGGGAGACGATCTCGCCGTTATCGTTCTCAATGATCGTTCAGTTCCACTCACTTCGCCGATATTCATGCGTCGTTAGCGTCGTAGCAGAACGCTACGCCATCTTAGACCGAGAGAGTTCCCACCATCGCACCATTCTGCACCATTCGCATCGTCGTCGTCGTCGTCGCCACCACTACCAGCTTTTCAAGGCTCCACTTTCCCTTCCCCCAGTCGCCTGAGTCGTCCGTGTTGACCAGTGCTGACACTGTCGACCCTGCCGACGCTTTTCGAAGCGATTGACGCTTCCTCTGTTCTCAAGTCTCGAGTCTCGACCTCGAACGACGTCAACGACGTGCTTGCGCGCCCTCCCTGTCTTCCGCCTTTGGCTTTGGCTCCCCTCTTTCGCTTTGGCCACAGTACACTGTACAGTACCCACTACCCACTAGCGGTAACGCGCAAAGTAAAGCCTCCTCCGGCTGATTTCAGACCGAACACGTTCATCGCGGCGATCGATAATCCTGCGGCGTGGAAAGTGGCGGAAAGCGAGGAATCGAAGCCGCGGAAGTGCCGTAACGTGGTGTCCGTCGTTTTTCTTGAGTCGCGGTCGTCGTGTACGCGTGACGCGACGACGCGACGACGACGTTGCGAGAGGATCACTCGTCAGGATTTCTGTCTGCGCGGAAACGGCGCGCGTTACTGGAGGGTTCTAGGCAAGAAAAAGATCAAGACAGACGGAGGAAGAAAGAAGCCAAGAAAAGAAAGAGAGAAAGAGAGACGGATTCTCAATTTTTCTGGCTTTTGACGACCGTTGTGAATTGGCCAGAGTCCAAAATACTCGAGAATTGGCCGAATGGCGCGCGCACGGCTCAGTTGTACGTCCGTGCGCCTCGCGGAATAATGCATCTTCCTGCCGGGGATTTCTCTCATCTGGATGACAGTGCCTGCCAGCGACGGGACGTAGGGTGACGTCGGTGAGGTGAGGTGAGGTACGTACTACGTAAGCGGTACGCCGTAACGTCGCCGGTACAGCCAGGTACAGGCTACAGCGCGGCGCAGTCAGGCGCAGTGGTTGCAGGTTGCAGGAGAATCTCCCCGCGAGCGTGGGATATTTATTTCCATACCCTGGATTTCCCAGCGAGACGCGGTCCCACCGTGATGCGATCGCGCTCGCGTCCTCCGATCCGCAGGGAATCGGGCGAGGACCGAGGGCGAGGGCGAGGCTTGTCGCGCCGCACCGCGCGCGCGTGTCGCTCGCCTTTGACACGTTCGCGACGTGTCGGCGTCGGTGTCGCCGTAAAACCGTTGGTCGTTGACGTAACCTCCCTCACGCTCGACTCTCGAGGACGTCGGCGTCTTCAGGGGGAAGAGAAACGTCGGGATCGCTCTTTGTTGCACGCGCGCGGATCATCGTCACCTCGTAAATTACGCGCGGATGAGTCATTGTCCTGTTGAACGACACGCATATTTTTACGCTCTACGCCGTCGCTGAAACGTCCTTGCCGCGGAGCTCGTGCTCCGAGATACTACGTTTACGTGGACATATCGTATGAGGTACGTCCAGCGAACGTCTACGCGTT